TTTAAAATAGTTCTGGCTACATTAGAATTTCGATATTAACATTATAATGTTTTACTAAGCAAGTTACAATAAATGTGTTATTAGTTAGTTAGAATTTGTAAAAAAGTCATTTATGATTTTTTTTATGATTTGTATTAAAATAATGAGGAGAGGTTGTTCCTTTAAACGTCAGAATGCAAATGGACTTCCAGCACGAAGGAGTCCCGTTCATTTTTATTTTCAGGTGAGACAAATTTTGGATAAAATATTTCCAGATAGTTATATTTTTTGTTGTAGTACAATTTGTGAACTCCTGAACTCACAGTATTGGATCATTGTTTACAGAACTAGTCCAAAGTAAAAGTAGAAGGGATAAACTAATTAAACGTATTAAAGGGAGATATGAAAGAATCAGGAGGGCGACTATCGCCATTGAGCGTTGTCCTTGTTCTTTGAAATTCGAATGGAAGTATTGTATCAGAAAATATTAAATTAATTCTTGGAATTAAATTTGTTTTATTTAAATTACCTCCTGTCAGTACTTCACTATCATTCGTGTTCCATTAACTAATGATTGTACAGTATTTAAGTTAAGAATGAGCATAACTATAGAATTTAATGGAAGGAGATAGTCCGGGGTTGCGGTCATAAATAGGCTAAATAGTGGTAAAACTATTTTATTGAAAACCGACGTTTCGACCCGACTTTGCAGGTCTTCATCAGGGAGGTGTGTTCATCTAGGAGTTTCACTTAGAACTGAAGTGAAACTCCTAGATAGTTGCGTTCTAATTGAAACTCCTAGATATAGAATTTAATTTATGAGGTAACATTGAATGATATCATCTTTTCAAATAATAGTCCTGATTGCTTCATTAAATGCAAAGTGTTCGATTTAAGAAAAAACAAAATAAAGGAAATCGACTATGTAAAAGAAAAAGTACTAAATGTTTAAAATGATATATCTCTGCAACAAATTGTCCGATTTCGATGATTTTTTATTTTATTTTGTAGGGAATTTAGGAAGCTTTCGAATAAATATTGGTATAGAAAAATGTGTACTTTTTGAGTTATTCGCAAATAAAATACTGAATTCATCATAAAAAATTATGCAGCTTGTTTTCGGGAAAGTATGTTATTTACATAAATTATAAATGTTTCAAGGGGAAGACTTTAGCCAAGTTTCATTGAAATCGTTAAAATTGAAATCGTTTAGCCGTTCTAAAGGAAAGGCTTGATGATGATGAAACGTTAAAAAAAAAAACACTTTTAAATATTATTGAGACGTTGTGTCAAAAATTCAAAGAAATCGGCGAAAGAACTTTCGGAGATTAGCTGTTTTGAGCAAACTACCATTTATTTATTTATTTTCTAACTATTTCATATTTTTATTTATTGATAACACTAAAGCTCGTCAATAGCTACTAAAAAAAAAAAAAAAAAAGAAGAAAGAAAATCGGTTGAATAATAGAGGACAAAAAGGGGATGAATCGATTGGTGTTTGCTTATTTATATAATGATAAGACTTCGATAACCGAAATGCTAATATGTGTATGAAGTATTTTTTTTTTTTTTTTTTTTTGTGAAATTTATTTTAGCCATTTCGGCTAGAGTGATTTTTCCTGAGCTAAAGATGAGGGCGGGAGATTAATGCCATAGTTAAAAGCCCCCTCTCCGCACCGCGACGTGAACGCGTAAGTTGATAAATATGGGTTTTTAAAAATATTTTTCTGGATGTAAATGACTAGCATTTTTCTCGACTCACCTTGTTTACATTGAGTAAAAATAAAATAAAATAAAATGACTGAAAATGAGCCCAAAAGATTTAATGAAATGCGTTTTGCCTCCATTTAATTTAATTAGCTTGGAATCAGGATCGAAAGAAGGGCTCCACCTCTGTTGGGCTTTCTACCTCTCAAGAGTTGGATTACCCCAGCCGTTTGAACCCTTCTCAATAAGGGCTGTCGTCTAAGGTCGAGTCTGCTAATTTGGTAGGTAATTAAATAAATTAGTTATTCTGTGGCTATGGTAACTAATAGCATTATCAATCAATCAAAATATAGATATTTTTTAGCAAACAAAAATATACATAGTTACAGTATTATAACTGAATTACAACAGGATTTTTTTCTTTGAATGATTCAACTTTTATCTGAAATCGGTATTTTTCGGAAAATAGTTGAAGAACATTGCTAAATAAATTATTAATCTTGTTTTTTTCTTTTATTGTATATATGGTATGTTTGAGTTTCATTCATCCTAAATAATCAATGCTCTTAATTGAGGCAAAATGTATTTTTTTCTCTATAAAATATTTAAAAATAAAATTGTGACTATTTATTGAATTTTTTTATTTATACTAAATTTTTAGTTTATTAATTTTTACTTTTGGAACACTTTTTTTTGTTCTATTTTTTTTTTTTTTTATAAAAGAATTACGTTAATTCAATGATTTGCAATTTTGATTTTCAAATATAAAATAAGCTTCATTCTGGGATGAGGTGCCTTAGAAATAACAATTATGATCAAAAAATAAAAACCACATCTGGCCAAAATTTACATAAATCAAAATTAAAGAATTTATACAATATCTTCAGTAAAAGTTAAAAGTAAAATTAAAACAAACAAAAAAGCAACACCATTTTGAAAAAAAAACAAACATTATTTAAATGGAAAGAAAAAAGAAATCAGGTAAAATAAAAAACAAATGTTATATCACTATGGGTTGATTCTTAAAATTAAAAGTCAATCAATTTCAACAACCATTCCCCTCAGTCAAAATTTGATTCTAATATTTATTTCATTGTACTACGTCATTTTGGGTTGTGAGAAGGAATCGGTAGAGATTATATTTTAATGGGAACAAGGAAGAGGCATGGCGGATATCAGATGGCAAGGAATTCCAGAATGCAGTGGATCGAGCAATAAAGGAATATTCAAATGTCTTAGTTCTATGGGAAGGGATATAAAGGTCGGATACACGGGACCTTGTTTTCTGGGAGTGGGCCATGGGTTTGAACTGTAGGAGACTGTAGATATAGGAAGTGTCGGGTGTTGATCCTTTGGAATAGCAAAGATCCAAGGAAATATTGTAAGCGGGAAGAAGGGAAAAGCCACTTTAACTTTTCGTAAAGGTGGGGCACATGAGACTGCCTCGAAGTGCAGTGGTAGATGGATTTCGGAAGATCATTTATATAGGAATAAAAAGGAGAGGGGAAATGCTCGAACCCTGAGCCACTCTAGAGGACAGCGTAAGGAAGGAAGATAGGTGTTTGTTCTGAATGCTGACTGCTTGAGTTCGATCGAGGAGGAAAGACTGAAACAAAAGGATAGAGATTTTAATTTATTGTAGAGTATGGAGTGGTCAAAGGATTCAAAAGCTTTGGAAAAGTCGAGAATTATTAACACATTAGCATTTTTTCGTCCGTATTTAAGTCATTGGTAATTTTTAGAAGAGCGGATTCTGTGGAGAAGCTAACCAGATTGGAGAGGATTGAGTAGTTTTGAGTTTTCAAGTAATTTGGAGATTTGGAATTAAGCTTTTTTTTGCAGAGGTTTAGAGAAATTGGAGATTGGGAGGTTCTCTTTAGGAGAAGCAGGATTGGGGATTTTGTTAATAGTGACTAATGCTTTTTTCAAGCAGTAGGAAAAACTGAGTTCTGGAGGTAAAAATTATAGATCAAATGGAAGGACTTAACGAGGAGAATTATGCGAGAAGGCATAATTTTAGCAGTTTGACGGACATTCCATCAAGTCTGATGGAGTTTGCATGGGATTTCATTATAGAGGAAATAAGGTTGGAAGGTGAAATGTAGGAGAAATAGAAATTATCACTGTTAAATGAGGAGGACAAGGAAAACTGCTAAGAGGGGGGGTGAGCTGTTGTTGGTTAAGGAAGATATAAAGTAGGACATTAATTCATCAGGTGAAACCGGGTAGCACTATGAAGAAGAGGATTTACAAAGAGGAAGTTTACGAAGGGTTAGCCATATTGATTTTAGAATCAGGAGCAGAAAAAAGGGTTTCGTGAAAGAAGTTTGACTTCGCTTTCCTGATAGTTGTTTGTGTAAAGTTATGGAGTACCCTGTATGCTTGATAATAATCTGATAGTTCGTCTAAACCGTCTATGGCTGCCTCACATCTCTTTTGCATGCCACGAATTTCTTGACACATCCAAGGAGCAGGTTGGCGATGAAAGCTAGAGATTTTAATAGGAGCATAAATATCAAGGATATGGATAAGATTAGAAGTGAAGATGTCTACCATATGATTAATAGAATTGCAGGAATAGATATCGTTCCACTTTAGGGTTTCAAGGTCAGGTAGGGTTTCATCACGGATGAGGGAGTCAAGATTGCAGAAAGTTATGGTTTTAGAAACAATCATTAAGCTGTGCTATCACCTGTTGATTAATTTTAAAATAATTGAACCACTTTTATTTGAATTTAATAAAAGTACTTAATTAAATAATTAATTTAAATGAACACTTTGAAAGTAATTTGCCTAAAATTGTGATGACAGTTAATAATGAAAATAAAGTGGAACCATCTCTTTATTAAAATAAATAAACCCAGTGAAATCATTGGGTTTAGAATTTCGTTTTATTCTTGAATTACATACATATGGTGCATTAAATGTTATTTCATAACAACCATATCGATTATAGTCAATAATAAAATCGTTGCTCCATCAGTTTATTGAAACTTAATCATATTTAATTTTTTTATTCTAGAGTAGTACATGTATATAGGTATGATTGTGTTTTTATGTTTTTAATTTATTTATCTTTAGGTTGTTTTATTTTTTATTGTACATAGTTCTTGATTATTATTTTACTTTTGTTAATTTTATATTTTCAGTATATATGGTATGGATGTGTTATATCACTTATCACTATAATTATTGTCCACGTGATAGATTGTTATATTTCTAAATAAACAAAAAAATAAATGAATAAATAAAAAAACATAGTACTAAACATATATTAATAATTTGCTTACCCTGAATGTATCCGAGGTTACAACAGTAAGCTGGTTTCCGTGGAGTTCTAACTCTTCAAGGCTATACAAGTGGGAGAAAGCGCCATCGTGTATGACGCTGAGGTTATTCCTATCCATGTACAGCTTCCTCAAGGATGGAAGGGAGACGAATACTTCCCTCTGCAGCTCGGCGATCTTGTTCTCTCCTAGAGTGATCACTTTAAGGTCGGGTAGCAGGGAAATGGCAAACCTTTTCAGGTGAATAATGTTGTTCCTGGCCAGTGCAAGATCTTGCAGGAGCGTGAGGTTGGCGAAGGCGTACGGTTCTACTGTCTCGATGTTGGCGTAGACGATTTCCACTGTCTTGAGGTGCGGGAGCTGACGCAGCGCTTTAGTAGGTACATATCCCAGAGAACTCACAACCCTGATATGAAAGGTGAGTTTGGTCAAATGCTTCTGGGACTTGAAGGCCGGCCAGACTTGTGAAGTCTGAGGTTCTCCTTGGTTGAACAGCCAACAGTTGGCATCTGTCGCGTTCTGCCACTCCGGTGTGTCGCAATAGCAGTAAATGTTCAAGTGTCGCTCACTCTGCAAGTTACAGATGTTGAGGGGGTCTGTCTTCACTGGCTCTTTACTCTTTTCATCTTCCTTCTTCCGTTTGTCCTCTCGAGTCCTCGTCCGACCGGTCACCGAAGAAATAATGAAGCATACAACAAGGAGAAAAATCAAACGCCCCTTCATAGCATCAACCTGAAACAACCAAAACAAAACACATTAATGTTTCTTTCTCCGATCTTAAATTGCATGAGTTAATCTACAAAATGGGTCCTTATTCTTCTACTCATAGCTCATATGAAATATAGTATTAATGGAGATAATTCGGTTGTGGCTTCGTTTTGAATGAATGTTGGACAGAACAAGAAGTTAAAAATACAATATTTTGTACCTTTTTAGGAAGGTATATTCGCGTTAACCATTTCAAGAACACTAATATCACTTTTGTTGATAACAGCTTTATCACTGATAAAGAAATTATCTAGGTCATCTAATCCATAGCTGTGTCATCTAATCCATAGTTTACTGTGAATTTGAACCTAATATATATTATGTTAAATAACGTTAATGCCAATTTCATGCATTATAGGAAGCTTAATTTCAGCACAATTAACATTCTGATGTGAATTATTGAAATTGACGAACATCCATGAATAACCAGTAGTAAATAATTTATAAAACGAAAACATTTATTTATTGAAGTTATTTATTGAAGCTTTATTAAGTTCTAAAATACTGTACTAAATCATAATGAGAAAAGTATTAAGATGGTTGCTGTAACCAATAAGATATCAATGGGCATGTATACATATTTTCAAAAATATATACTTTGTTTTTTTGAATAACCGTAAACATGAACGTATTTAACTCTATAACTCATCTGAATTAAGACTACGTTATTAGATTACATATGTCGTCAACGTTAGATTTTACAATGAGTCTATTTTATCACACATATCCTTTCTAAATTCCTGAGATAGGTAAAAAACTAAGGATATGGTCTATTGATTGTAATCAAGAGTGATTTTACCTGTCTATTATTTATTTTACCGAGATTTCGGTTGATAACATTAATCAAATACCATGTAATCGGTAACCGATGATATTTTCAGATTATGTTATTTATTATTACTGTTATTCGCGTGAATGGTCTAACCTTCCAAGCTTTAGAAAGAGTTGTAAGATTCGAACACTCAGGATCAATAATGTAAACCCATTCGCTATCAAAATCTACAAAGCTGTTTATTTCCAAAGTACTCATACGGCAGATTCTCACAAATGTGTCAGAAATCCGGACGATAACCAGTGAGAGGAAACTACTTTTTTTTTAAAGAAAGGTACAAAGGTTTTTGACATTGTTAAGGAGAATAATTTTCCTGGTTTAAGATTTGGAAATCCAAGATGTCTAATGAAGGAGAAATATTAATATTATGGACATACGCCCTTCTTAAACAGTGTAAAGGAAAAAAATGTACGTCTTCATAATGTTTGAGAGAACTGCAGTTTTGAATAATAGTTCAGGAAAGGTGGCTGTTGCCTTTAGCTTAAATGAAAAGGAAATAATCGTTTAATTTTTATAACGATTCCATTCTTATTCATAAAACACAAAATAACACATATTTTAAGGCAACTTGTAATATTATTATTTATTAACTCCGTATATATATTTTATAAACTACAATGATATAAGTTAAGCAACTGTCGGCAAATTAGTATACATTGATTTTTTTTTCTTTTTATGCCATCATATGCCTCCTCAAAAAACGACTTCCGTGATAGCTTAATTGCACTACTTTCTGAAGTAACGAAACTTTGGAAAATGTCGGCCAATTACGAGTTGGACTTGGTAACTTTGTGAAGTTTCCGACGTGATCGGCCAACAATTACGTGCTTTACATCGCAATGGTATTGAAGGCCTCCAACGAATCAGGAATTATATTACTCCAATTTAAGACTTGATAAGTTCCATTGAATTCAGGTCACTTACTCAATTCTATCCTTTGCAACATGGAATTAATTGAATACAGTTCCCTTTGATCAAATACTAGGGTGTAGCGTAGGGGTAGAGAGAGAATCAATTTTATTCTTTAATCATAATAAATAGTAAAGGGGCAAAACGGTAATCTATGTTATATATGTACTGATTTTAATTGGTTGTTAAACTTTATATAGCTCTTTATCGAGAGAATATAAATCTAAAATGTAAGACAATGTTTTCAGTTTTGTCTAAAGTTCATTCAATCAAATTTTAAATAATTATTTATTGATGATATTTCACTTATCCTTCCGGAACCATATATATATATATATATATATATATATATATATATATATATTAAAATAACCTAAGTCTTGTATAATATAACATAAAATCTAAATAAAATCTAAAGCAATTTCCGATTCATCAATAAACAAATAATATACCCGTTGTAAAACCAGCCAGCTAACTTTATTAGTTTTATTATTTTATGCTATTAGGATATCATTTGTCTCTTGATAATATAGTACAAAAGCTTATAAAATGGAATTTTGTGATTTTGAAATTATTTTATTTGTTATTTATTTAACATTTTATATAATTTTGACTTGTGCCTCCTTTTCGTCCCTGAACGTTGTACCGTGTATGTCATGTTAAAGGGTAGGAGCGTTGAATTTTTTATGGTAACACCGGAATACGTGAAACGAACGTGCAAGCAGAGACTTCGCCAAATAGTGCTTGTAAATAATTTCTGGCCCATAAAAGTTTAGGAAGACATGGACTAACAAAAAAAGTACCAAAATAGGCATACACGCATGACTGAAACGAACATTGATAAATAAAGCTTGTTACATAAATTATGAATAATAATATCTTTATAGAGGATAAATTCTGACGAAAAGCATTGTATGAACAAGCATATTAATGTTTATATCAAATCTGCTGCGACCGGGGTTTTCACTCGCGACATAGATTATACATGCATCTGATGAGCACATATCCTCGTATATATGATTAAATAACTAATATATGATTAAATAATAAAAACTTTAAAATTATTTTTTGGAAATGAAAACAACAAAATAGAAGTAAAAACAAAAATATCCAAATAATTTCTAGTGGTTGCTCAACTGTGTTGGTTTTCAATACACACAACATACTGATTAATTGAAGATTTAGTTTTAAAAACACCTATCCTTCCATAATAAACTTCAGAATCATCCCAAACCTCTAGTTTCTAATCTAACTTCCTCTTCAATTCCTGATAATCCTCCGAGGCGTCTAAAAAGAAAAAAACGCGCGATCCCATAATGTAGATATATCATTGGAGTTCTATCATTAGTAGTTTCTTATCAAGGATTTTCACCTCATTATATTCATATGTTCAAATTTACTAAATTTATTTATTTAATACATATACATACATACATAATACATACATAATTGCAAATATCATATGAAATAAAAAAAAAGGAAGAAAAAAGAATAGATTCATCTAAATTTAATATATCAACTTAATTTATATCAATAAACCTTTTTGCTAACATGTTATTTTATGAAAACGTATAGTACTTTGAGTTTAGTTCAGTATTCCAATGAAACGTGTCTTCTAGTTTTCCTTAACAGTATATAGATTCCACAGACAGATGTGGTCTATCACGTAAACCTAACACTAGACCGATGAATGACGTGAAATTCACTTATCAGGATAAAAAGAAAAACTGTACAGAGACTGAGAACTTTTACATTCACTTCACTGGAAACACTCCAAACTAAATGTTAAAATTGGACACGTAGACATACTTAATGAAACTTACTTGGTCTTACCTATCACAGATACATGAAACTCCAAAAAAAAAAAAAAATTAACGAGCTTCACATTTTTGAAGCGAAAAACAAATAGAACAATTAAAATACACCGTAGCATGTAAGTTACATGATCTTAAAAACTGACCTTCACAATACAACTATTGACTAGATTTGAACACATTATGAACAATTTCAAGAGAAGGTCACTAGGAAATCCTAAAATATTCATAAATGACTTGGCCACAACTAGTCTTGCCCAAATGCGAGACCGAGATGAACCTTGGTCTTCCAAACTCAGTCTTGGTCATGATCTTGCACAAGAGTCTCGCAAAGGTCTTGCAGTTACTTACTAGCTTATTACTATAGAGATATTACTGTAATTTTTTAGACAGCAGAATGATAAATTAGAGGAGTTAAATTTACACATACTAACTAAGATTGTCAAGTTTTAGTAACTATTTTGCTTTATTTTTATTTAAAAAATCGATTTTTTTTAACAATCCTGGTCTTGGTGATTAAGGGTTATAACTGTTTTCTACGTTTTTACGCAACCTGGTTTAGATAAGGCAATATATAATTGTACTAATCATCTACATGTCTTTTCTTAAAGTCAACTTTTTTTTTTAAGTGTTATTAAAATCAACTCCAAGATAAGAAGATGGCCTCGAGATCTCCTTTTGTAAATACATTTTTAGAGTATGGGTAGTTTCTCAACATGTGATTTCATGCTATTTTATTCCTTTGTTCACATTTACTGAATGTATTTTTACTTGTAATGCAGTTGCAAATATCATCAATAAAAAAAAAAAAAAAAAAAAAAAAAAAAAAAAAAAAAAAAAAAAAAAAAAAAAAACTCCAAGATACTTAACAATTTATATACAGTGAGCGCAAACGATATTTACGACATACTGGGCAAAAGATCATGAAACGGTTTTCCGCTCCCATAGCTATTATAACCAAACGGTTAGACCGATAACGAACATACTTCACAGAATTCATTTCCTGACCTATGTAAATTTATTTCCATAAAATTTGAGTGAAATCAATTTTACAGTTAGGGAGGCTATAACCTACAGACATACGTAAGTACATTATTTGATATATTTATGGAGTACTTAATTAAACTATATATATTAAAAATTTGGCTGTTTTAATTACTTTATATAAAAAACGGATCAGTGATAATCTGAGAAATCCCTCCAAACCAGTGAGACTTAGTTTTAGATAAATTCTCAATTAATAATATTATATTTATAAAATTTTCAAATACAAATAGTTTAGGGTAAAGTATAACGAGTCGAGGCAATCTAAATAACGGTTGATAATTAAAATGCGATTATCTCAAACTTCTTCAGATGTTTGAAAATATAATCCAAATACGCTTATTTATAATTATATT